TCCAAAAAAAAAAAAAAATAGAATGAAAATTGTGGGATTAGAAACGGACTTTGGGAATCATTGGGTCCGTCTGTTTTGCCATCTGGGCTCACTCAGTGACCCTGTTGCTGTCACCTGGAGGCATCCCATCCATGAGGTCCTGGGCATGCCCAAGATCTGGTAGCCCATCAGCTGGATAGTCAGTATACAAGGCATCCTGGCTGTAACCACCATAGTCAAAAGAACGATAGCTAAGGCCAGGTGCAGTGGCTCATGCCTGTAATCCCAGCACTTTGGGAGGCTGAGGTGAGAGAACTGCCCAAATCCAGGGGTTCGAGACCAGCCTCAGCAAAATGGCAAGACCTTGTCTCTACAATAAAAACCAAAAATTAACCAGGCATGGTAGCATGCACCTGTAGTTCCGGCTACTTGGAAGGCTGAGGCGGAAGAATCACTGGAGCCCAGCAGGTCGTGAGTGTGCCATTGCACTCCAGCCTGGGCGACAAGAGAGAGACTCCAACTCAAAAAAAAAAAAATGATTGCTAGGTTCAACCTGGCGATATCCAAGAGGTTTTCCCTGAGCTCCAATATCAAGTCCAAGATCGGTAGTCTCATTCCAAGTCATGGACTCTGTTCTGAAGAGAGAACTGGTCAACTCAACTGAAAACCATTTCTTATAATCCTGTGGCTTGTCTTTAGACATCAGGAAAAAAACAGTAGCTGCATATTTGCCACACCTTCATTTCTAGAGTGAAGTAACTCTGAGAGAGGAGCTGTGGCTTCTTTGGCTGCAATAGCTTCTTCAGCCTTCTTGTCCTGAGCAAGTTCACAGAGGACCCCAGCATATTTTATTTTATTTTATTGGATATTTTATTTTATTTTACTTTAGTTGGAGTCTCATTCTGTCACCCAGACTGGAGTGCAGTGGCACACTCCCGGCCACCACAGCCTCAACCTGCTGGGCTCCAGCGATCCTTCCGCCTCAGCCTTCCACATAGTGCGTTACCACCCCCGGCTCATTTTTTTGATTTATCGTAGAGACAAGGTCTCGCCAAGTTGTCCGTGTGGTCTCGAACCCGCGGGCTCAGACAATCTACTCGCCTCGGCTTCCCAAAGTGCTGGGATTACAGGTTGAGCCACCGAGCCCGGCCTTTGGATATTTCAATGGGAGAATATAGTTCTTGTCCATGTTTCCCTCTGTCCTAAGCGGTCCCTCTCATGCAGAACTGACTCAGTAGGTGACCAGCCAGGGTCAGCTTTGCTCCAGGCCCTGGGAGGGCACTGAGGATAAGAGGGAAGTCAGGGTGGGGTGCGGTGGCTCAGCCTGTAATCCCAGCACTTTGGGAGGCCAAGGTGAGATGATTACCTGAGTCTGCGGGTTCGAGACCTGCCTGGGCAACTTGGTGAGACCTCATCTCTACAATAAATCACAAAAACTAGCTGGGCATGATGGTGTGCGTCTGTAGTTCCAGCTACTGGAAGGCTGAGGCGGAAGAATGGCTGAAACCCAGCAGGTCAAGGCTGCGGTAGCGGTGAGCATGCCACTGCACCTCCAGCCTGGGTGACAAAGAGTGAGACTCCAACTCAAAATAAAAAAAAAGAAGATGCAAGTCAGACCCAACATGCACTGGAAGTGTCTCAAGCCTCCAAGCAGGGAAACAGACTGTATAACAGGTGTCCCAGTCCAAGTGCCACCAGAGTGTGGAGGAGGCAGGTGGAGACTTGGACTCCTTCTTGGATTTGGGTACTGACTTCCTGCTTCATGTGTGATCCTGGACACACCACTTCATTCTCCTGAGCCTCGTTTCCTGATCTGTAAGACGGGCATGCACCACCCCACAGGAGAGCGGTAGGGATGAACCATGTTAAGCAGGGCAGTCTCTAACACGTAGTAGGTGCTTACAAAACAGGTTCTAAATGTACATTTAAAGAGGGTATCATCTGGGCTTGGTGGCTCAGCTTGTAATCCCGCGCTTTGGGAGGCTGAGGTGAGTGGATTACCTGAGTCCGCAGGTTCGAGACCTGCCTGGGCAACTTGGCGAGACCTCATCTCTACAATAAATCAAAAAATTAGCTAGGCATGGTAGCGCGTGCCTGTAATTCCGGCTACTTGGAAGGCTGAGGTGGAAAGATCGCTGGAGCCCAGCAGGTCGAGGCTGCAGTGGCTGGTAGCGTGCCACTGCACTCCAGTCTGGGCGACAGAGTGAGACTACTACTCAAAAAAAAAGGAGGGGGGGTTGTATGCCCTGGGGCTCGGTGGCTCAAGCCTGTAATCCCAGCACTTTGAGAGGTGGAGGCGAGAAGATTGCCTGAGCTCAGCGGTTCAAGATCAGCCTGAGCAACATGGCGAGACCTTGTCTCTACATTAAATCAAAAAAATTAGTTGGGCATGGTGGCACATGCCTATCTGTGGTTCCAGCTACTTGGAAGGCTGAGGCTGAAGGGTCACCTGAGCCCAGCGGGTCCAGGCTGCGGGGGCCGTGAGCGTGCCATTGCACTCCAGCCTGGGCGACAGAGTGAGACACCGACTCAAAAGATAAAAAAATAAAAAATAAAAATACATAAATAAAGAGAGTGTGAGAAGACAGGCTGCCGGGGCAGGGTTCCAGGAGGAGGTGACACTTCAGGGGGCAGGGGACGCAGGGTCTGGGTTCGCTCGGTCCCTGACGTTGCCCACCAGCCTGGCGCTCCGGGAAGCGCTGCCCACAGCTCCTGGAACCTTCGAGAGCCTTCGGGTCCTATCACTGGGTGGGGGCACCAAGCTTGCAGCTGCTCTGATTTCCTGAAGTGGTTGCCCCCCCCCCAAGTCCTGGGGCCAGGCTTTGTTTTGCGAGGGTCATATGACCGCTCCCCTTGGCCCGGGGCAGGCGGGGCGCGGGCCCCCGCGGGCCCCCGCGGATGGTGCAACGTCGCGCCCCGGAGTGGCCGTCAGCTGTTCCGTCCCACGTGACCTCCCGGAGCATAAAAGGCCGGCGGCGCGGCCGGGAACCCAGCGCCCGCCTCCTCCCCAGCGTCCCGACGCCGCTGCCCGCGGA